ATTTTAATACCCTTAAATGTAATATAATGTGTAGTAAACGCATCGATTTCACAAAGGATGATTCAATAGGGAAATTATTGGGTTTCAAAAATAGATTAGTCGAACCTAATACATTGGATAATGCAGACTATGTTGCAAATATAACTAAGGTGAATGCAATTTGCATTGATTGTAATATTTGTGTGGGATCATTCATCAATGGCAAACCTGTTCATATAATTCATCAATTTTATCCAACTGTAGCTCCAGGGTATAAAATAATAGAATCACCTTTACCCATATTATATTTTCCAGTCAGCGTTAAAGCAATAAACAACATAACCGTAAAAGTCGTCGATGAGGACGGAGATCTTATCAGTTTTAGAGGGGAAACTATAACTTTTAGGTTACATTTAAAAACAGATAGTAGTTGAAATGGTTATTAGATATAATAGAAGTTCCATTATCCACTCTTTACCTTTAATTGAAAAAAATCTTATAAAAGAAAAAAATCTGAAAACAAATTCATTAGCAAGGAAAACGTGAACCGGTTGACACATTGGGTTTGTATTTTAATTTCAAAATTTTCAAACTCATTTTTCTCGAAACCCGTCAAAGATTTTGAGTCAATTTTTTTAAAGATTGTAGTCCTTGATGAGAGATTTGAAATGGTACTTAGCTGAAGTCGCTGGCATTAACGGTTTTTGGTAAAATGGAGTTTGAAGTTTTTGACTAAATTTCAACTAAAATCCAAATTTGAGGCTCAATTGCTCTAAAACTATTTGAGTTATCAAACTCAATATAGCACTGATTTATAGAGAATTTGATGCTCTTTCCAATCATATGTAATTTTGTTTTGATTTGCTCAAAATTTAATAGAAGTATTGGCAATTGCTCCTAACCTTGTCAGGATTTAAAAAAAATTTAAACCTAAAAATTGAGTTTTTCTTTTTAATTTTTCTCTGTGTTGAAATCAAGATTTTGTAATGATGTTAGAGTTTTTTTCGATCAATTAAGACCCGCTCTATCGATTTAAAAAGTCAAAATTCAATAAATATGAATGGTGAAACTATAACTGTTAGGTTACATTTAAAAACAGATAGTAGTTGAAATGGTTATTAGATATAATAGAAGTTCCATTATCCAATGTTTACCTTTAATTGAAAAAAAATCTTATAAAAGAAAAAAAATCTGAAAACAAATTCATTAACAAGGAAAACGTGAACCGGTTGACACGGGAAAATCATCAATTTCTCACGTCTTTGGGATTTAAAGTTTTAATGTAATGAACATTTCAAATGTTAACGAAAAACTTTACGTAGACAATTCAATTGTAAGTTCCGAAATTCACACCTACCAACCATTTATCTCTTCAAAGTTTGATTACAATGATGAAATACGAATACACATTCAAGAGCTTGATAAATTTACTTTACCATAAGAAAGCTTACTTGAAGAAAAATTAGTCAATAATGAATGAAACTATACAAAAAGGTTAAGATTTGTTAATAACGGTATTGCTTTCCTCTTTAGAGAAATTTGTTATGAGTTAAACGGAGTCATTATAGACTCTGTGAGAAATGTTTGATTAGCTTCTACTCTAAAAGGTTATTATTCTCACAATACCAATGAAAGTCTAAAACTACAGAATGCAGGTTGGTTTCCAAAGAGACAAGAGGCCGAACGAATTTTGGTGGATGATAATGAAAAGTTTTGTGTTTCAATATTACTAAAAATGTTTTTGGGATTTTTCGAAGATTATAAAAAAATTATAATCAATATGAAACAAGAATTAGTTCTTATTAGAGCAAGTAATGATTTAGATGCAGTTTTGTTTAAAGATGATTTGGAGACCAAAGTAGTTACTGATGAAACTACAATGATCTCCTTCGATAAATTGTATTGGAAAATTCCACACATAACAGTAGATATACCTCAACAGCTGGCATTATCAAAAATACTAGAATCTAACAAAGAAATGTTTCTAGGATTTAGAACTTGGGAAATTGTTGAATATTCGTCTTAATTAGAAGCAACTAGACATACCTGACCAGTGAAAACAACAAATAAACTCGAATCTCTTCGTCATGTTGTAGTAGCCTTTCAAATAGATCGGAAACGATAAGTTAAAAAAGATATGAGTCAGTTTGATGATATTGATCTAACTAATATGAGAGCATTTTTAAATTCTGAACGTTGTCCTTATCATGATTTGCACTTAAATTTGACAATAATTTTTCTGCCTTATTCGAAATGTCTTCAGACATTCCTATTATGGAATTGCAACTGAGCCAGTGTTTAATCCCACTGATTCCAAAAATATTTCTCCCATAACACACATCGACTGTTCTCATCAGAAAGAGTCAATTCAAACAGGATCTGTTGTCATGAGAGTTGAATTTGAAACAAGCACCATGTCAAAAACGATACTTCTGCATACTGTCTGATCCTTCATGATGAAATATTCAGCTATAATCCTCTAACCAAAATAGTAAAGCAGCTATAATGCACAAGCTTTTATGTTTATATAAATCAGATATTTATCTCAAATTATCAGTATTATGAAGACCGAATTGGATGTACAACTATCTCGTTACATGAAGAAGTTACAGCAATTAAAAAAACAAATAAAAGAATACTCAGAAAAAAAGTTTATGATTAAATCATTTTCCAATATGAAAATATGAATCAACTAGTGCTGGATGTGCAAGGATTTACAATAGAAAATAATAAATTTATACCCAAGGAACTAGCTGCCTATGATGGTACCAAAATATGCCACTATATTTTTAGACCATCATTTGATATTCAACATTTGCCACCTGATTTATGTAAACAAAGCAAATTGGTTAATTCATAATCATCATTGTATTTGTTGAAATGAGGGATACACTCCAATTTATAAATTTGCAGACATTGTCAAAAATCTAACAAGAAAAGTAGACAATGTTTACGTAAAAGGGAAAGAGAAGTCCGAATACATTAGAAAATACTCATTGAAGCCTGTCCTGGAATTTGAAGATAAGCCGACTATTCAAAAAAGGACAGCCTGAATGTTTTTACCATCTGCAATCACAATGTATATGTGCACTTACTAATGTATTCTATTTATATAATAATTTTATAATGATGGAATAAAACACTTATTTTTTGAACTTTTGTTTATTTTATTTGATAATGATATAAGTTACATATTTAACTTATCATTAAACACTACCTGAATAATTTCTTTCGGAGCAAACTTTTTAACTTTATCTAAAAAATGAGCAAAATCCATGTGTTTTATAGTAGTAAGGAATGTTGTCAGATCCAAAGTATGTAGTAGGTATTACAAGCCTCCTCCGCTTTGCTATATTTTCTTGCAAGTTCCATACATTCTTCGCTCGTTTTGAACCTTTCAAATCCACAATTAGCTTCATGCTCCGCATCAAACTCCAAATTTCTAAAAAGTTGTGCCAAATTTTCAACTGCTGTTGTCAAGCTGTAGGTTGGAGTTTCTTGCACATAAGCTAACCACATCTTGACTAATTATATATAATATCAAAACAGCTCCAGAAGCCTAAGTATTACTTGTTTAGTAAAGGGAGGTAATAAACAGTAGGTATGTTGGTACTAATATTTTTTATTTTCCAATTTATTAACAAATTCGTTACATACATATGTTTCCACATCTTCTATAATACGATCAGAATGGAAAATTAGCAATTCCAAAACACAGGAAACATTTTCACTATTTGGGTTAGTTGAAGGTGAAATGCGCTCGTATACATTTTTGTTCAAATCACCATTTTTATTGGATACCATGCTTATTACTCTGTTGTAATAATTTAAAAATTCTTGACTCTTAAGTAGATCAAAACGTAACTTTATCAAGTTAACCAAATTTATAAGTTCATTTATAGTTTCACCAGCCAAAAAAATTTCGTTTCCACCATCGTGAGTAATTTTGATTATTCTTGATTCGCGCAGAAAGAAACAAGAGTTCTGCTGGTAGCATGATTACTTTCAAATGATTATATGTTTTTTATAATTATCACAATTTATAGCAATCACAAGCTAATCCTTGAAGCACTTTAATTACTTCATTAACGTCTTCATCGTCACAAATATTATCATCGCTCAATATATTAATGTCTCTGAAAGTTACCAATAAGTTACAAAAATAACTTTCTTCTCCAGTTTTTTTCTATGGTCCAATATTATAGTACAAAAAAGTATATTCCTTTAGCAGCCAACATGCATTAAGTACAACGGGTAACCGGTTACGAATAAAATATATTATTTCGAAATTATTCGGTTTGAATTGATGTAAATAATGTTTAAAATTATTTTTTCAAATTTTCTTGAAAGATCTTTCAAATATGTCTACAAACAGATCGGAAATGGAATAGGGAAAAAGAAAAAAGAATCTGTGATGGAGGCCTACTGCAATTTTGCATTTTAAATCAACTTAATTAAAACCATCGTGAGATAAACAGATCCATAATTTACAAACTTATATTGCGAACGCTATAATTGACCAGATAATGAATTAACCTTGTAAATATCTTCATCCATAATGAAAAGCAATGAACTACACAAAGATGGCAGATAATTACATATTTTTGCAGACTGAAAACCACTTATTTATAGAATAAAATTAAGGGAGTGAACTCTGCGCCTACCGGTAGGTGCCGTTTGTTTTATTGATTGTGTGCCTACCGTTTATGTATAACGCTAAAACATTATGGTAGGTCCCCAATTGCCACATGATATAACGCCTATCGGTAGGTACTCTTTGTAAAAAAAATGCTGAGCCTACCGGTAGATCCATAATTTACAAACTTGTATTGCGAACGCTATAATTGACCAGATAATGTGTGAATATCTTTACCCATAATAAAAATCAATGAACTACACAAAGATGCCAGATAATTACATATTTTTGCAGACTGAAAACCACTTACTAAAGAATAAAATTAAAAGAAAACGTATATAAACAAGCCAATATTTCTGAGACTTCATTCAATCGCTGTTTCAAGATGACTCAAAACATGTTACCAAGTAGCAATGCTCAAACTCAAGTAAGTCTGTTTAATATAGCGCATTAATTTGATCCGTAATGTTTTTTCTTTAAAATAGCAAGTGCCCCAAACGTCGGTTTGGTGGGTTGAAAAATCCCTGGAACCCCCGGTAAGTATATTTGAACATCACAGCATGTTTGTTATAATTTTTTTCAAACCTAGAGAGAAGAAGATCAATTGATATCAATCGGCGACAATCGATGGGTAAGGCACGTTGACTGGCAAAGGTACCTACAGGACAAAGCTAGTGGCGTAAAAGTAAAATAATGAAATTGTGTGTTTACAAATATTTAACTGATAATTTATAGAAACCGCAGGGAACCATAAGTCAGGCTGAACGGAGCAGCCCTTCTGCTGACGGGAGTAGTCAGCTTGATAAGGTGTCATCAAATCAAGTAAGTAAATTAGTGAAGCTTAACAGACATAAAACAACTATAAATATGAATATTTTTAGACAGAATCAAGACCCTACCATAGACTACTCTTGGGATGAAGACCCTCCAATGTTGAGCTACAATCCACAAACTTATGTCTCAGCAAACAAAATTATCCGGTGCCCCCCGACGAAATTGAGCAAAAAAGCCAGAAGAAAGTTTAGAAAAGAAGAAACAGAAAGATTTGCAAAATTGTAGTTTATAAGTATAATTTTTTAATAAAATAATAGTAACTTAATTTATTGTTTCATTGGGTTTTTATAAAAAATCAAAACATATTTTTCGAAGATCACAAAGCACAATTCTTGAGTGGATTTTAAAAAATACTGGTTTATCAGGGATTTTAATGAGGTTCGTTGTTTTTGTAACTCATAACTTTTCCCACCAAAAGTTCAAACAATGCGATGTCATCAGATCAACTAGTCGAGCAAAAAACAAACAAACAACAAAACCCTACCATCGACAATTCTTGAGGACTTTATGGTAGATAGCAATAACCCAGAAGCAGATGTTGTATCCAACCCATAATCCGTTGACCCCCGTCCAAAAAAAAAGCAAAAAAAAATATAGGCATCAGGAAAGAAAAAAGATTTTCAAAATTCCAATTTGTATAATTTTTTTAATAAAATGATAACTTGATTTTTTTTTATTCGATTGTGTTTCAATGAAAAATCAAACCATATTTTTCGAAGATGTATCAATAAATTAGCAAGGTTTTTCACCACTTGCTTCCACTCAAAAATATTGAGAACCGCAAAACTAAAATTTTGAACACGAATACAAATGAAGGAATTGTATTCTCTAGTTTTCAGGAAATTGAAGGGATATGGTACCATCGTCACCAAAAGTAACTGGGACAGCATCACATTAGCTCTTGTCCTATTATATAAATTTTATTGTCAAATATTTGTCAAACTATGAATTAAATGCATTGAAATAAATGACAGTAGAATTAGTCCATGAGATTATTATGCATTATTTGTGTACCAGATACTTTTGGTGACGATGGTACCTCTTCAGAGTAGAAGTTTTTTAATGTAGTAGAGGTGGGTATCGCTTTGATAGCTGAAGGCTTTTGAGCGTGGGAACTTTTTTGATACCGTGGGAAAATTGGCGATCTGAAATTTTGGGAATTTGACCCGGGTCAACCGTGGGAACTTTTTCGATAGCGTGGGAACCTTTTCAATAGCGTGGGAACTTTTTCGATAGCGTGGGAACTTTTTTGATAGCGTGGGAACTTTTTCGATAGCGTGGGAACCTTTTCGATATCGTGGGAAAATCGGCGCCTTTGATCCGAAATTAGAATTTGACCCAGGCGAACCCCAAAATTTGTGAATCTGGAGAACCATTTACTTAGAAGAGGTCTGGGGGCACTTGAATCAAAAAAGTGCTCAGGAGCTTCACGGAAGGGGGTTTACAGTGGTGGGTAGTGGTATGATGGCTGTGCTGGAGGGGCAGTAAAATAATTTCTTTGGTGGGGCTCATAGTGGGGGGATGTTAGGGTAGGAGCTTCAGGGAAGGGGGTTTACAGTGGTGGGTAGTGGTATGATGGCTGTGCTGGAGGGGCAGTAAAATAATTTCTTTGGTGGGGCTCATAGTGGGGGGATTTTAGGGTAGGAGCTTCAGGGAAGGGGGTTTACAGTGGTGGGTAGTGGTATGATGGCTGTGCTGGAGGGGGGTTTTACGTGGTAGAGGTGGGTATGTGGTCTGATAGCTGTGAAAGCACTCTACTTGAAACGGTACCTAATTCAAAAAAATTTGAATAGCAAAATTCGTAACAACTATTCCAAATCATGTAATCATTATTAAAATCTCTAATCCAATCTGGAGTAAATAGTTTTTTATTCACCGAAGGACTGAAGTGAATCTTTCAATCCCGCAGCGAACGTTTGTGCAATTCGCTATAGGGATTGAAGGACACTTTTCCCGTGGATTATTATACGATTTTTTAAATTTCGGAAACAGTGAGGAATTATTGAGAATAATCGTTAGGTAGCAGTTCTTGAAAACATAATATTTAAGGATATCTGTATACGACATCCGATACGATTTTGTCAAAAATAAACTACATTTCGTCGTAGATATCTTGCTTCTCGCAAAAATTCATAAGCGGTTATGGCCGGTGATAAAAAAAGTGATCAGTTTCAGGTCAATCGGGACAGTTTGCACAGGCGTAGAAAGATTTCAGTTCGCTACACTCCGCAGTTTGGAACTGTTCTGGAATGATTCCAAACCCGATTCCGTGGAGATCGATGCGCAAGCTCTTAGTTCTGTTATTAGGTAGGCTGTGAGCTGAGGTTTATCGTTAGACTGTGGCGTTTTCTGCATTGTTCTATAAGCTCCTTTTTCTTGCAGAGGTGGATGGTAAATAAATCAGCTACCTAAATTGGAAATAGTGCCGCTTTTTAGATCTAGATACTCTTTGTTTTATTCACATTCACCTGTGTAGGAGTGTAGGTACAGTATTTTTAATATCCATTTGGAGTAACACCATCTTTGTTCATCAATCATGAATCAGATGAAACAAAAAATTACCAACCAATCACAAATCACTTAAACGACTGGTACTTTCCAAATAGGTATTAAAAATACTATACTTTATGTTGGATAAGACACGCTTGCTGATTCGCGATATATGAATAATTTTGGAAAAAAAGATTTGGTATGAATTGTGAAAATCTAAGATGCCTACCTTGTAGCGGTATTGACGACGACTGCTTCTCCTTTCGTATAGAGTACGTGCGGGTCCTGTTAGGCTGTTCCATTTACGTTTTTTTAAAGGGGTGGTAGGTAATAGTTATTTTCCTAACAAGTGCGCAAAGTGATACTTTCCCGCACAAAAAAGCAGTTAGACGAACGACGCGAAGCGGAGTTCGGATAAGTTTTGAGTGCGGGAAAGACACTTTGCGCAAGTGTTAGGAACAATATTTTTTCTACGAGTATCTTAAAGAAGTAGACTTAGAATTATTACAATATTAAAAAATCAATCAAATCAAAATCTTCAAAAATCGTTTAAAATCTATTGGAATTCCTTAGAATGTCTTTTAAATTAAATTCCTAAAAATCTTTTAACATCTTCTGGAATTTCTAGAATATCAGCTAAAATATTTTCATGAGAGTCTCTCAAATATCAAAAATTGTACAAATTCCTAGCAGTACAGGCTGGTCCAATTTGGACACCTTTGATAGGAAACATCATGTTAACTAAGTGCTAATTTCAACTAAAACCCTTCATTATAAATATTAGCTTATTCAGAAACCATCAAAACATTGAAAAATCAAGTATAACTATGGTAATTATGCGTAACAAAAATGAGTGCGCAAAGAGTTTCCGTGCGCAAAGTTCAACTTTGCGCACGCAAATGAGTGCGCAAAGTGATTACTTTGCGCACGCAAGTAGAAAAAGAGTTTTTTCTCCAAACGTCAAAAAAACGTCACTTTGTTAATCCCTGTCAAGATGTCAGAAATTTAATTTCTATGCTGCTAGGTGAATCCAGCGGGTTAACACCTGTCGAGTTGGTAGAAGTTTAATTTCTAGGCTGCTTGGCAACCCCAACGACAGCAAAAGTACTTTTAGTGCCGCTCGTACTTTTACTGCCGCTCAACCATCCACTTGCCCCCGAGCTTACCCCATTAGTTTGGAGAAAAAATAGCGTGTGGCATACGGAGTAGAAGCACTTTTTTGTGCTTCAGCAGTATTGCAAGCCTCACTACGTTCGGCTCGCAAATCTACTGCCTCAGCACAAAAAAGTAAAGCTTCTACTCCTAATACAACAATATACTATTGTCAATTGTCAATAACTTTTCGATGATTAACTCTTAACGGATAACTTTAACTTGCGGTATATTCCCAAAAATTTAACGATTAGCGATTATCGAAGTTAACTTTTCAAGTAGCGAATTAACGATTAACGAAGTTAACTTTTCGATTAACTGTGCCCACCTTTGCCTTTCACTATGGTATACTTTTTGTCAGTTTATAGTTGATGTAGTAACTGTTATGTTTTCTGTTGAAAACACCTTATTTAAAATATTATTCATTCCAAAAAAAAAAGTGTTAAAGCTTTAATTTAATTTAATTTAATAATAAAACATTTTATGAATTTTGTCTGCATACATTTTTGCAATTTTAATCCATATTAATCTAATTTGTGGATCTTTCAAAAATTTTATAATTTTTTTTGGCATTGTATACAGGTATGGTTTTTTTAACGTTCCCATGACGCCGTGCGCGAAATTCTACTTTATATATATGCTACTTATATATATACTTGTATATATGCTTGTATATATACTTGTATATAAGCTTGTATATATAATTGTATAGATAATTTTTGTTATTGTGTCACCATTAATGGGTAAAAATTGTCTTCATGGCACCCAATTTTACGTATCGGCACCCGAGGTCGGGTGCCAATACGTTCACCGTGAAAAATTTCTCCTATGACCATAAATGGGTCTCTAAGAGCGTTTGGCCAAATATTGGGGGGGTGCCAGATTGACAATAAATAAGAACGAACATATTGATTAGTTCGGCCATCTTCCGATAGGGGGCGCTGCGTTTTATACAAGTGTATATAAAAACACAAATAATGACAAAATGGCACCCTCCAAATATGTTTCCATTTTGGCACCATAAATTTGGCAACACCTTAACTGACTGATTTGCATTGAACAATTTAAAATTGATTTAGAGGATATATCGAAAAGCTATAAAATACATTAGCACTTCAGATTCAAATTAGTTAATCCAAACCACGTGACTTAAAATGCCGCTTTGTTCACGTTGTGAGGTTGTGGAACTACAAAAAGGGCGTCGCAAGCCTGCCTCCATCGTCAGAATGGTTTGAAGAAGATAGAAAGTTTGAAAAAAATTGACAGGTGTCAACCGAGGTGTCAACTGTCAAATGTGACAGGTGCAGATTTTTCTACCATTCAAATTTTGCATACACTTTAAGTTCGGGTGATAATACAATATGCAATACTCAACAGCTGTCAAATATCATTTCTGAAAGATTTGAGCTGTCAAATAATGACAATAGGGCGTCACGTGCCTGCTCGGTTTTCAGAATGGGTTAGACCTTGGAAAGAATCGACAGCTGTCAACAGATTTTTGAACCATTTGTTCGAAACAGATTCTGCTGAAATTTTGCATACACTTTAAGTTCAGGTGATAATAGGGAATTATTGAAATACGG